GTAACAAAACATAGTAATTATATTTTATAAATGGCATAGTGGCTAAATTATTAATGTGAGGCACTCTGTAATATGCATAGGTAGCAGTGTAAGTACAAATAAGTAATTACTCTAGATTCTGGCTTCATAAATTTGTTTAAATTATAACAAATTGTTTTTAAGTGTTAAAATATTTTCCTTTTTTAGTACATCATATGCGATTTTAGTTAGAAAATCAGTAAGAATTTAACCTTCAAAGCTGGATTATTTAAATATAAGCTTTTATTAAAGGAAAAAATTCTGACCTCTTGCAAAAGTGAGAATTTTTTCTGTAGATTGAAAGATAGAGGATAGTGTTAATTGGCTCTTATAAATTAGTAATATGAAAATGTTAATATGAGGCAAACATATTCAGAAGTAACCAATTTCCCTTAAATATTGACTGTGTTTTGCAGTGATCTCAGAGTGCAAAATGTGGTGGGACTATCTTGTCTTTTGTTCTTGTCTAGATAAATAGCTGTTCTTTGATATTTTCAGGGAGATAGTATATTGTTAACTTTAATAGCACTTCAGTTTTGATACCAGTTTTTCATTTCCCATTTGTATAGCAGAACCCTCTTGCAAAATAGAGAAAATCACTTAACAGTTTCATTTATATTTTTGTGACATTATTTAAAAATGTACATTACTAACCACTGCTTAGTAGAAAACATTAGAAAATTTAGTTCCTATTCTTAAAATGTCATATTCTACCCATAAAATAAGATACAGACAGAACATGGGCACATGATAGGATGCAAATACATGTAAAGGAATGTGGAAGAGTAACGTTAGAGTAAATGAATTCTAGAGATCTCAGGTTATTTTTTAGATGCTAAAACTCAGCTAGTTTAGTGGGAAAGATACAAGATGGTTGATCATTAGCAGATTGTCTTTTAGTCTAACAAACTTTAATAACCACTTGTTTCTGTGTATAAAATGAATTAGAGTTGAATTGATGTGAAAATTTGAAGATTTTCAAAATCTATAATTTTGGAGATTTAAAAAAATCTATTACATTGGTATACAATAACAACTCTCAGTATTTATAATTGAAAATACATACATCTCTACTCGTCAGAAACTTTAAAATGAAACTTGTTAGTAATAGCATATCTCTTCTTTAAACTAAAATTTTTCCAAGATATTGTTAATTTCTTGTTACCTGATTTTCTTTCGTGGTTATTTTTTTAAGAAATGAAAGTGGGAGTGGTTATTTATTTGTTTAACATTTATTTTTAAAGGAATCATCAGTTTGTAGCTTTGTCTTTTAATTTTCCCATTAAATACTAATTAGACTCGCTAGCATTTAATCTACAATCAAGTAAAAATGACAAACAATAAAATCTGAAATAATTAAACACTAACTAAATTTGGCTCTTTTGTGGATGCAGAAATTATTTAAATAAAATTATAGGACATTCAGTTTATATGAGCGCTTGAAGACTGTAGTGAGGGAATCTAACTTTTTTTAAAACACATTCTTTTGAGTGTGAAAAGATTAGGATCTTGTGTTAGAAAGCTTACTTTGAAATCCTTTTTACTGGTGAATCAGGAATAAAGACAGACCCTCACTGCTAGTTTTGAGTCAACAAAAAAAGTGTTGTGAAGATACCTTGGTTTATTTAGGAGCCCTGCAAGGCGGAAAAGCTTTGTAGCCTGCCCATGGTCATAGTCCTAAGGGTTTGGTGGCCATCTTTTCTGTACTCAACTGATGACTAAATGTCTCACTTTTTGTATCTTGGTTTTCTTTTCTCCAAAATGGGCCTCCATCTCTTTCATTATTTTCTTTTCTTTTTCTTTCTTCCTTTTTTCTTTCTTTCTGTTTTGGTTTTTGACAGGTTTACTTTACAACTTACAAATTATTTTCCTCAGCCATGTGAAGCTCATGTGAAAATTTAAAATTATATTGTAGAAAATCAAATCATGTCCATGCAAAAGTGCTAGCATGTTTCCTTACAAGGGGAATTCTGCTCATGGGAGTCTATGCTTCATCTTCCTCCTTGCTTACCTGTCTGGGTTTCCACCACTGGCATTGCCACCAGTTAACAGTGTTGTCTTTTCCTTGCCCACCTCTCTGATTTCTGTTTTCATATTGCCTATTTAAGAAAAACTCATGTGACGTGCTCCTCTCTGCCAGTATTCCATTTCTTGAGAGAAGTCTGGCAGATGTTCCTATCAGTTTGATATTTTAGAATGACTCAAAATATTAAAAGGCAAGTAAAATTGGTTGAGATTCAAAACGTTTTGAGGAGATGAATTAGAACAGTTGATAATGGGGAAAAGTTGGGTTAATAAGTACATTTAAAAATTTTTTCTAGATGATTCTGAGTAACTGGAAAAATTTAACTTTGAATTTCATGACTGTTCTGTTTTGTGATGCCAGGGGAACTTGGTTTCCTTAACTACAAGTACCTGTAGCACTAGTTAATAACAGCACCAATAATTAAGGGTAATCTGCTACTAATATGAAGTAAGTGGTAGGCTACTTGCTGTGCATGTATAACCTCCTCTAATCCTCACAGGAGTGCTGTTGTGTATTTACTAGCATCATTCTCAATTTGCAGAAGAGGTTCAGACATAAAGAATAAATTTAAATTATTTCCTAATGTCACATAAATAGAAAGAGACCTAATTCAAACACACCTGACTTAGAAACCTACTTTCTTACCCTCCTGGGTATCCATCCACCCTGTATGCATCCAGCAGAGGGCTAACTGGTAACATGAAAAGTACTTGAAAGCCAAACATATGGAGGCATTATACCAGGAACTTGAATATATAAGCCAGAGGGAAAATGGTGAAGAAAGATTAAGAAAAAGAAGGGATATACAGACATTCCTATAGATTTCTATTTGTAGATAATAAAATTTGATTTGTAAAGAGGCATTTAATTATAGTTACTTGTTTTTTTAGACAAAACCAGAATAAATCCAGTCAAAACAAAGCAGTGGAACTGGTGCAGAACTTCGAAGCAGGTTAACAGGAAAACAACAATGACCACCACAGTGTATCGTATCTTCCCAGTAGTTGTCTGTTACATCAGGTATAGCAAAATCAAACCAAAACAAAAAAGAATAAAACCAATCAAAACAGAATATTGAATAAAGCAAAACAATCAGAACAAAACAGTGAGAACAACATTGGACTTCAAAAGTAAGATAGAAAGAAATCTGCATATAGTCATCCTTGATCGCCAACCCCAGACCTGCAAAGTCAGCCAAGCAGTTACAAGCATTCAGTTACTTCTTGTAGGCTCACAGGAGGTGCTGTCTGACTTCTGTCTTCTTAGGCCTTGCATGGCTTGCTTGGCTTTCCCAGAAAGGCTGGCTTCTTGGTGGGCTCCTGCCAGTCTCAGCATGGCCATTTCTCAAGGGGCGCCAACTCAGTTATTTTAATAAGGATTTATAGGTTCCAAGATACTATTTGAATGTCATCAAAACTGTTTCTATATAAAAGTTCTAGTAGATTTTCAAAATACAAGTTGTTATGTTTGTTGACATTAAGATGATCTGTTTGTGCTGATTTGCCAGTTCATTTGTTCAACAGATATTTATTGAACACCTGTTATAAGCCAAACATGGTGTCAAGCACAGGAGATTGATCTAGACAGATAAAGCACAATTCCTATCTTAGTGATTTTATAACCTAATATGTAAGATAATCAAGGAAGAATTACGAGGATGACTAATCATACAATATTTTGCCAAAGGTAGATTGATTGTAGAGATCATGACTTGGCCTAATATTAGAGAAAACGAGACTTTTAAAAAATGTCTTGAATGCAGAATCATGATTCTCAGAATTTCTGTTGATTAGTCATGAGTGTATCACTGGAAATACCAGGAAAATCTTTTTTTAAAAATCAGTACCTTCATTTTTTCCTAGTGATTTACTATTCAGTTTGCAGGGAGGCCAGGCACCAGTATTTCTAAAAAGTGATCCAATTATTCTAATGTGCTTCCATTGTCGGGAACCACTTGGATATCATTTCAGACATCATTCTTAAAATGGTACTTTCTGAGAATAGTTTTTGATGTCTTTTACTGGGGAAGGGAAGATTTGGAATAAGTATAATGAAATCAAAATAAAGCACACACTTAAAATATAAAAGTACATCCTTCTACACTGATTTTACAACTTCCCTCAATAAGACTAATCACTGGGCTGGTAATGAAATTATTACAATGTCCCTTATATCTTATTTAAAAATAGTAAGTGTACAAAATGGTTCCTATGGGATTGATCTTAGAGTCCTATGTATAAATATTAACACTAGTGTTAATATAAGTAAGTAATACACTTACCTAATATAAGTAAGTTATACACTGTAGACGTAACAGACAATGATCTAAATTTGAGAAATGAGAATGGTAAATGGCTGAATTTCATGGGTTAATGACTAGATGAGAGCAAGTGAGTGACAGAGGGGAGATTTATAGATGAGAAAGGCTGAGTGAGGATTGTGACTTGTCAGTGAATGTGGGTTTCTAATTACTCCTTTTTTGTTACAAGGTGAACCACGTAATGTTTCATATTTTAACAAATCCTCTTCCTTGAAGAGGAAGAGGTTGTCATTTTTTTCCTGTTTTTCAAAGTAGAAGTTCAGAGTTCATCAGCTTACATGTAAATCATTGTTCAGCTTAGTGTACAAGAAACACGAAAAGATTTCCTATGCACCATCGAAAACATTTAGATATTAAGATATTAAGTACAAGACACATTTAGTGTCTAGTTCCTTTTATTTCACTTAGCTTGATTGTTATTGTTGAGGAAATTAGGATGCATACTGAGGAAATAACTTTCCCAAAAACAATGACTGGTTAAGAATAGAATGGAAAGGCTTTTGACACCTAGATAAGTGCTGTTTCCACAGTAACACACTGTATTACCCATTACTTTTCAAAGCTATGCTGTTCTTGAAATTTGAATTTTCTAGTATAGTTTTCTTTTATTTTCATATTGTAATTTATCTCCTGAAGGTCAAGTAACCTGGTTTGGTTATGAAAGTCCTCGTAGCTTCTGGGACTATATCAAAGTGGCTTGCCGGAAAGTTTCACAGAATTGTATCTGCAGCATTGAAAATATGGAAAATGTCAGTTCCTCTAGAGCTAAGGTAAGACTTTGGTAATATGCAGTGTGTGTAATCTAACTGTGAAGAGTTTCGGACTAAACAGAAAAGTTTGGAGCTCTGCAGTTAATGTTTATTTTCTTTCTTTGTTGAAATTAAGCACCTGACTAAATTTAACATCTCTTAGAGGCTTTTTTTCTTTTTTCTCTCTTTGTTTTTTCATTGCATGTAGTTATTTTAGAATGCTCTTAGTTGGGTATGATGGCACACACCTGTAATCCCAGCACTTTGGAGGCTGAGACAAGAGGATTGTGGAAAGTTCAAGGCCAGCCTGAGCTACAGAGCCAGACCCTGATTCAGAAATACAGAACAAAAAAAACCACCCCTCCCCCCCTTCAAAGAATGCTCTTGAGTCTTTACTGTTGCATTTTGAACTACCAGAGGGTATGAAAATACTAAAAATTTCATTTTAGGAAGCTCAAAGTATATTTTGTTTTAATTTATTGAATTATCTAAGCCAGTGACGCTCAATATGTACAAAAGTCAGATTTATTTAGAATGCCCATTAATGGTGCAGTAAACATTCACTTTATTAAAACACAACTCTTTAGTCTCTTCAAAACATCCTAACTGAAAAAATGGAAAACATGCATAAAACATTTTGAAAGCATATTAAAATTTGTGTTTGCCTCAAGAAAGACATTAGTGTGATTCTCTGGATTATATACTGAATTAGATGCTTTTTTTTTTTTCGTGTAATACTAGTCTTACTAGAAAGAAACTCACAAATTATAGTCTGTTAGGCTTAAGCATTTGGCAGACATTTTCTTGGGAAAAAACCTTTCTTCTTGAAGAAGTTACTTGAGGAAATAGGCAATAGCACCAATCATTGCCAAAATCAAAGCTTTAAGTAGAAGTTCGACTTTTTTCGTACAACTTCATGCTTGATAACTTGATGAATCTTGACAAAAGTTTTTCTGGTAACGTTGATTTCATATTAACAAATATATTTTTAATTATTTAATGAAATTATTAACACTTGGTAAACCTGCATATTTTTATTTTCCGAATGAGCATTTCATGGAGTTACAAAATCATACATGGGTAAAAGATTAATTCGTGGTGCAAGATAGACCAATAGATTTAATGCAATATGATATTAAAAGGTCATTGATTTGGTTGCATATTCCACTTTGCAGTTAACTTTTAAGAAATTACCTCTTGCTGAGTTTTGGTATAGAATCAAGGAAGAACATCCACAAGTACCTGAAAACCTACTTAAAGTCTCCCTTTCCTGCTATCTGTGTAAGATAAGATTTTCTTCATATACTTCAACTAAAACCACACATTATAACTGGTGGAATGCAGAAGCCAATATCTTGTTCTGTTTTATTATGCCAGACATTAAGGAGATTTGACAAAAATGTAAAACACAGACACTTTGCTCATTTTTTGTTTTAAAAAAGTCATTTTTCATAAAAAGTATTTAATGTTAATGTATAATGGGTTGCTTTCTAAATTGCCCAACATTTTAAAATTTTCTAGTCTTGTAATACCCTGAATATTGATAGATATAACTTGTGTAGAAGGTCTTTTAAGGTCCTCAATAATTGTTTTTAGATGATTAAAAAAGTTTGAGCTAAGCCATATCAGCTTTAGTTTAGGGATTTTATTTATGCTATTAGGTTGCCATAAATAGAAAATAAGGAGTGGAAATAGATATTTACAGTTTGAAGATAAAGACGTAATTCAGTTCATTATGTTAGAATTATAAAAGTATAATTCCATCTTGGATGAATTTGCATAAATTTCTTTTTCATGTTTCCCTTTAAGAATCTTGATTTTTTTTTAGTTTAAGATTAAAAGACTACTTGTGATTTGAATGAATCAGATTTATAAAAATAAACATTTATGGTGCATAAGTTTTTTTTATTTTCAGATACAAAGTAAGAAACAAAAAAATAGACATGTGCATACACCAAGTGCATTTCTTCAACAAAGGAAAGCATTTACTTATAGAACTAGTGTGTCCCCAACCTTCAGGTGACTGCGGAGATAATAAAATTAGAAATGCAGCATCTGTACCTGAATGGACTAAAGAAACATAAACCCTACCTACCCAACACCCTTAATGAAGCTTTTGGGACCAGTTCCAGCACAGCAGGATGCCCCCCTGGCAGAGTTTATGTTTATTCTTGACAAATCTTGTGATGAGCATCAAAACACCATAGAAAAATCATGTTCAGATCCTGCATATATAACTTTCTTTGCTCAAGCCTCAAACAGATTCCAGTTAGTAGAAAAAGAGATCTTTGATTTGCCTCGTTGTGCTGAGAGAAGTGTAAAGGCAAGATCGACTCAATCATAAATGCCGAGTATCAAGACTGAAGGTTCAAACAAATATGTAAGATGACGGGTTTATTGCACCTTGAACTGCAATGTCAAATGACTACTAACATGTGTTGCACTTTGTCTATCTTGACATATGTGAAAAATGTATCAGAGCTAAAGCACCAACTTGCTTGATAAAAAATATACAACTCTGTACTTGGGGCCAAAATAGCTTTACTTTTTAATCCTATACAAGGGGCCAGATTTAGTCTGATTATACTTTTAGAGTTAAGCATACAACAGTTTAAACAGTGGAAGATATAGATGTACTTTGGACCAGTTATGGAGTAATGACCAATTTGATATAAAAATTATTTTAATTTTTTTCTTTTAGTATTGTGGATCAAACCCAGGGCCTGATGCATGCTAAGTAAGAGCTCTGTCAGTGAGCTACAACCCCACCCCATTCATTAAATTTAGGAGAGCTGATTCTGAATTGTCCATGTCCCAATACCACTGTGCCACAATTCAGTACTCATACAGTATTGTAGAAACTTGTCACTATGGGAGATCTGGTACTTAATTTCCTAGTTTAAAATAAAAAGTACATCATTCTATTTCTTTGCCTGACCTGTGGCAAGTTGAGCCCAATTCCCAATATCTAAATGTAGCTTGACAATGGGATACAATGTTTAAACTGAAGTTTATATCTACAGTCTTTACATCTCAGGTTATATTTACAGTATTTATTTCCATAATGTACAAAGATTCTGAAACATGAAATTTTTGAGGCATAAACGTACATTGGTTTCAGACTAGATTCACAACCCTTAGAGAACTGGCTTCAAAAAACACCAACTTTACTTTTCTGAATCTTCATTCAGTGGGATTTTCTTCATCTGTTCTCATACTAATTATTTATAATTCTATGTAATATAATTATTATATGGTTGTATGGTCTTTGATACAAACTACTCATAATTGACCAGTTACTACTGTTACTGAATTTGCACATATTTGCACTGGGTTTTCTTAGTATTCTACCTAATTTCAAATTCAAGAAGTCAGTCTGTCTGTCTCTCTCTCTCTTTTCAAAGTATATGCACTGTGTTGTTCTTGAGTTCTTCCCTTCTAGCGTACTTTTTGCATGGTTTTCACTCCTTTCATTTTTAAGGTAAGGTGCTTGTTTTTAGGTAAGTTTGGCTTTCCTAGTTCGTGGTTGTGATATACATTTCCTTTATTATTTAGTTGACATTAACAGAACAGTTTCTGAAGAGTAGTTATTAATCATTCATTTACCTATGCATTCTTCCATTCAGTAAATTTTATTGAGCACATAAACCAGGTCAGATCTGAATGTCGTCCTTAATGCATTCTCATGACATATATCTTAGTCCTGCTCTTCCTACAGTTGTTTTGTTCTGTCTTTGGTCTCATTGCTTACTTTGTGCTTTGTTCAGTAGCTCACCTTGTCACTACTTGATCTCAAAGACAGGTTAGCCACTGACAGAGACAGAGGTAGAGGGATATTGATCACATATGCACCAGATTTATCAACTACTAAAACTTTACAATAAGCTAGCATTGAGAAGGAACCATTTCAATTACTGTTTTCTATTATTGAACTACAGATCACTTTTGCCTCTCTTAATATCATCTACTTGATGTTTTCTAGACCCAGTTTTTATGTGTTGGTAAAAAACCTGATATATGTCTAAAAATTTTGAGAAGTTTAAAAATAATTTCCCAGGCAGAAAATAGAGTCTTATTCTGCCCATTGCTTTTTTTTCATGTAAAATGCTAGATTCAGACTAATCTTCCTAATACATTTCTATTATTATATCACTTTTCTGTCCTTGGCACCAGTAGTTTCAATACTTAGTTAGCTATTAGCAAGTTACTTATTGCCTCTGTTTTATCAATTTCTTTAACAAGTATATATTGAATGCCTGTTACATGACTGTTACACTGGGAATATGATGGTAGGTGAAAAATATGGCAGAGAGCAAATGCTACGTACATTACAATACAACAAATATTTATACGCACACATGATATAATGTCAGAATCTGTGAAAAGAAACCAAAGAAAAGCTTAAAAAACCATCAGAGTCATAGGAGGGCACATTTTTCTTAGAGTGGTTAGCGAAGGCCTCAGAGGAAATAACATTTGATTCAAGACTTGAATTATAGAAAAAAATGTGATATGCAATTATTGGGTAGAGTAAATGAGATAATGAATAAAATACATAGTTATGATTAAGAGTTTGGACGTTATTCTCAGTGCAGTGGGGGGGATATTCAAGAGAGTTTTTTTATTTAGAATAGTAGAGTAATAAAATTTACACTTTTAGAAGCTTCACTCAGTGCCATGTGGAACATGCACAAAGGGAGAGCTGGAAGCAGAGAATTTAGTGAAAAGGATATAATTGGAATCTAAAACAGAGATGCTTCTAGAGGTGAGGAAATAATGTTTCTGGTTCTAGTGACAGCAAAATAGCTTGTGTCAGAGGAACTGTTCTGTAAGAGTGATTGTAAAGGTTGAATGAAATACCCAATGCTACAAATTTAAGGCATAAGAGAAGAATCAAGTCATGAGACCTTGAGTAGCCACTGTCCTGAGGGAAAGATTACATGAGCTGAACCCCACGTTCACACTGGCCTGACCCTAGGTCCCCTGTGTTCATGTCATAGGTATGGAGGTGAAGCACAGAGTAATGGAGGTAGGTGTTGGTTGTTTTTTATTTCTCTGGGCTACAGAAATATAAGTTGGAACATGGAATGGCCAAGAATCAGGCTTTAGAGAAAAGATTTCCAAACAAACATGTCTGAAAATGTGCGTGCACTTTTACTACGAGGTAGTCCCAACTGAGCTGAAACCAGCAGGTAAAATGTAAAACAGCTAACCAAAGATTTCACAGTCTTGTTCTGGGATGATAGAGGTCAGAGTATAATGACAAACAGCACTTAGGGTCCTATCAACATTCCAGGCTTTCAATGGAGGCCCCAGAAAGGTTTCACTTGGAATAAAATAATTCTGAAGATCATCCCTAAAAGGGCCTTAGAAGCCATGCCCTAAATGACTCAAGACAGTTCTCTAGTACTTTGTATGCTTGCCACAAGAAAATAAATTTACTCTAGTGAAAAATAGTATTGAAATCCTAACACTTTTTAAACACTCCAAACTCAACAGTGCATTAAAGAAGATCAAATGACTGAAACCAAGAAAAAAGGCCAGTTGAAGCAGACCTATAAGTAGTAAAGATTATACACTTTTAAGTAATTAAATTAATAATAAATAAATATGAATACTATTAGAAAACTGGATTTTTTTAAAGCACTCATTGCAAGAGGCTCATTCTTATCAAACACTTATACAAAGGAAGACTTACACAAAAATCCATTCATTTCAACAAATTTCAGAGAATCATGTAAAGTATGTTCTCTATAACCACAGTGAAGTGAAGCTAGAATTAATAGGAAAAATAATGAGAAAATGTTTTTTATTGGTGAAATTGAAAGAACTTATAAACTCATGTATGAAAAAGCAAATTATAAAATGAAAATATATTTGAAAAGTACAGATAATGAAATGCAGCACATAAGTTGCACTTAGAGGAAAATATACTTTTTGTGTGTTTTTATAAAAAGAGTAGAGACTGGAAATCAGTGAAAAACGTCGCTTACAAAAATGTCACATGGAAAAGAGGGCATCTATATAGGTTGATACCTGCTGATAGTAATACATCTACAACTAATAGCCTTCCCTCGTGAGCTCATTTTTTTATTGAGTTGTGTTTTTATCACAGATTTTAAAGACATTTTTTGTATTTGATGGATGAGAGTCTGTTGTTAGATACATTTATCATGCAAATTTCTTTTATCCACAGTTTGTCTTTTCATTCTCTGAAATAATAATTCATCCCCTAAAAGAAGAAGGTAGAGTATATGGATATTAATGCAATTAGATTGGTCAGAGTTGTGAGAAAATAAGCTGCTCTCTTTAAATTGTCTCTTTTTAGTGAATTCAAGGATAGCTGGAACTGCACAGCAAGATCCTATCTCAAAAAAAGGAAAAAAGAAAAGAATTGTGTTCTTTCTTTTTTCTTCATATAGTAAACCTCAGATAGTATTGTAACCTAATACACAATTTTTGGGAGGATTAACTATTTTAATGTGTATAAAGCTCTTAAAACAGAACCCATTACATATTGTATTCTTAAGAAGTATTGACTAGTTTTAGTACTGTTTTCAAAAATCTTTATTGATTCACCATTAATTCATTAATGCAGCTCCAGCTTTTCTACTTCTTGACTCCAACAACCTTTATGTCTGCTTATCTTATGTTCTAGTAAAAGTTCTTTTGTTGAAAAGAAATAATTGGCACATTTTCTTAATAGAGAATTCCATACACATCAAGGACAGGAAACCAAGTGCAGCTAGTTCGGTGTGGATTGAAATTAATAAATTAGGAAGCAGGAATTTCCTATATTTCTTATCAACAACAGCACAATCTCCTGTGCCTAATTTTCTCAAGGTAGCAGCTTTCCTTGCTTCTGTGTTGGTGACATTGTGACCTTTTGATGCGAGACATCACTTCTAGTTTCTGTGTTTTTAGAGGAAGTTTCAAGAGAGAATCTTGAACTACTGGCAAGCTCATGGCTTGCCTCTTCCTTCCTCTGTTCCAAGCAGCCACAGCTTATTTTAAGTTCTCCTAGGCTTACCCAGAAGGGACAATGGACTGAGCGCAGGGAACGATGAAAGACAATTGTAGGCCAACTTACTGACCTGTCAACGACATCTGTATTATTGCTGCTTTCAGCCTGTTTTTTTTTTTTATTGGTACCGGGGATCAAACTCACGACTGCCTGCTTGCAAGGCAGGTACGTATGCCGCTGAGCTAAATCCCCAGCCCCAACCTGACTAGTTTTATCATTGCCTAGACTGACTCCTTTTTGATTTCTCTACCCAACAGTTTGGGAGATGCACTAGACTTGTAGACATTTTCATGGGTTACTTCCCCTTACTGGTCCTTGTCTATCATACATATTGGTTAGTATCACCTTTGTTCCCCACTACCACTGCCAGGCTTCAAGGCTCTATCTGTTCAGTGTTCATGAATTTTCTGGAAATTTGTGAAAGCATTAAGTAAAAATGCAGATGACTGAATATTAAAATTATCTACAAATATGATCTTATTTCATTCTAAATAGCCTATCAGAAATATTCAGAAGTACTTTTAAAAAGGCCAATTAATCTCAACTATTGAGAAATACTAATTTTTTTTCAGTACAGTGAAATTGTATGTAGGTAAGAGTTTGTTTCTGTGATTCTGACTCAGATATACTAACTTTTGGGGGTTCAGTCTATTTTTGGTGCTAAGAATTGAACTCCTGCTAGGTAAGTGCCCCTACCCCTGAGCTACCTGCAAAGTTTTTATTTTTTTAAGTTTCAATATTTGATAATAGTTTTTAGAATTCTCAAGTTTTTAGAATTCTCATGAGCTCCAGATTGAGAAGCTCATGACTTAGGTGCATGATTCATTCTGCAGTTTGGAAGTTCACTGTTGAGTGAAAGCTGCTTCTGGAAGGATAGGATGGGAAATCTGAAGTGTGTCACAGTGATTAGTATTGAGAGAAGACCCTGTTCCTCCTGTTTTATAAGGAGACTTATTATAAAGTAAAATGCTGACTTGAGGATTGAAGTAGTTTTATCTCATGATTATGTTATATATTCAAAAGAAGTCTGTAATATAAGTAAGTCAGTGTTAACATTTTGCCCTGTCAGGGGATAGAAAGTTAATTTGATATATTATACCCTATGCCTTCTGAGAAACAAAATACACACTCTGCTTATTCAAAATTTGCCACTTTTATCTACTTGAATATTTTTGTTAGTCTTTACTAAATGTATATTTCTTTTTTATTTGAGAAAAAAAGACAGGAAAAAACAGCAAAGGAGACAAACAACAACAAATCCAAAATAATAACAATATAGGCTTTCAAAACAGATGATAGGAATTTAACAATGGTTGTTATTAAATGTATATTTCTAATGAATTTTTATCTATATGTTAAAATGCCTTTGTTTTCAGTAACATAGTAGTCAAAATTATTTTTAATTTTTTTCATAATTTTTTCTTCTTTCTTTTAGGGTAGAGCCTGGATCAGAGTGGCACTCATGGAGAAACACTTATCTGAATACATTTCTACAGCTCTGAGAGACTTCAAAACAACCAGGTTTAAAAGTCTTTAATTTTCTAATAATTTATTTGAAAGAATCACCTAATGAATTAAAAATCATAATAGAATGCAATTATTTAGTTTCTAAGGCCTTCAATTATCTTATTTCCTCCATTTTTTTACTGCTCAGATAAGCTCAGTATCGCCTCAGGAAAATGTAATTTGTCAGCTAAAAATATATTTAGCTGTGTTTATGTAAAATATACATATCATACCTGGAATATCCTTTTTTGAATCATTTCTCATTCTCATTCTTTCAATAGTTGAATCTTCATTCTCTCTATAGACTTTTTCTTGACCAACTGGAAGAATGATCTGTGAATTTTTTATAGATTCTTTTCTCATTTTGTGCTACAATTTTTCCTTATTTCTTTGTTTGTAAAGAATATAATCAAGTCATTTACTTTTTTGTTGGTATGGTACTGGGGATGGAAACTAGAGCCTTTGTACCAAGCTACATTCCAGCCCTTTTTATGTTTTATTTTGAAATAGACTCTTGCTAAATTGCCCAGACTGGCATCTATGTACCTCTCTGATTCATTCATGTATATGTAATTGCTTCACTATGTTTTTAGGGCAGCCTATACCAATGATTTTTTTCATGTCGTATAGATTTAAGGGATAATATACTGAGACCATAAAAACCAAGACATTACTAATTTTTATGATGATAAAAAATAAGGTTCATTCAGGACAATTAGTCCTATTTAGTTCTGTCTAGTTGATCTATATTCGTTGTTGAAGAAACCACATTTCTTCATGCATGAAAATATGTAATAATTTCATTATCTTAGACATGTACTGTCGGATGCCATTAACTATGAGCCATAAAATTCCAAATTTAGTTCTTCAGTTGCTGTATCACATTTCAGGTGCTCGGTAGCCACATGTGGTCAATAGGTAGCATATATATATATATATATATATATATATATATGCATTAAATAGATTAAATAGATACCAGCCTGGGCAATTGAGAAAGAGTCTGTTGCAAAATAAAACAACAGGGGCTGGGATATAGCTCAGTGCAAAGGCTCTAGGTTCCGTCCCTAGTACCATACCAACAAAAAAGTAAGTGATTCAATTATATTCTTTACAAACAAAGAAATGAGAAAATACATTTTCTTCTTCACAGAAAGATCTATAGGCAGCACTGCCCTAGATGCTTGTAAATTATCATACTTATTTCTACTTTATTAGTCATATTTCTGAAAAAGAAGACTAAACAGTGACAACTGTTTTAATAGAGAAAATTAAGCTATAAGAATTAGTATTTTTGCAGTCTCAATTTTCATGTCCTGGTACTTTTTTTTAATATTCTAGATTTTTAGAAAATCTAGGCAGAGTATTATAACATGATCTTTTAGCTAACTAGCTGGTACAAATTATAGTATTTTAATTAGATGCCTTCTATCTTGTAGGTAACAAAATAACAATTTGCAAGACACAAAGAAAAATGATCATAATTATAAATTTGTTCACAATAGAAATACTTTTCACTAAAAAATTTGCATAACTCATATATATATATATGTATAGATGGCATAATTTTCTAACAGAATGATGTTTAGGGTATTTCTAAAGATGAGTACATTTCTGCATTTATTATTTCTAGTTAAATGAGTTTAATTATAAAAAATAAACAGAGGATACTAAAGCTTTGAAAATAAAAATAGAGCATAATAATAGATTCTAGTAGGTGAACCTAACAATTACTGAAATCAAATTAATGAAAATCAAATTAATTAATTTATTACTGCATACTTTTAAATTAATGAAATCAAAACTAAGTTTATGCAATTATTTCTTACTGCATCTTTTCTAAACAAATTAAAATGTTAATAATCTGTACACAGTTTTAACCTTTTTTCTTACTCGAAATTATTGGGTAGGGTATAATAATTCTTGAATAGATTGTTTTTAGAACAAATTATTTAAATGTTTAAAGCAAAATGTTTGTTGCCTTGCTCATAGGTGTAAGCCATGCTTTTTGATAAAGGAAATGATTTAGCTTTTAAAAGTCTATGAAATAAAAATATTCTTGTAATAATAATAATAATATACTCTAAACAGAAATGGTCTTAGGACATATGTGCAGATACATATACACACACCTACACACACATTTATGTGAATAACAGTGATTACATAAGAGCATAATGGCTTTGTAATTCTCAAGAATAGAAGTAAGTAGAGAATTATTTCAGAATTCTCATGTTAGAAATAAACATGTTAAAAAATAAGAATTTGCCTTTTACTGAAATAATCAAAGAAATTTTCATTTATGAATAAATTTGAGTACAAATCTCTAAGTAAATACATTTGGAAGATTAAATTTGTGAAATATAAGCAAAGTATTGGAACGTATAATTATACTTTACCTTTTATATGGGTGCTTCCTGAGACAGATGCTTCTAATGGAATGAGAAGTTGTCTCTAATCCTTTAGGAAACTTGAGAGTATCTAAATCAACTGGATTTCTTCATGCTGTGTCTGACTTGACAAAGAGTAATGATATCCTTTAAAATAGTTACAGAAGTATTTATTGCCAGGATAGGAGAAAGAGCTGCATGAGCTAAAGCAGGCAACTTTAAAGACAATAAGCAATGTAAGTCCAAGGATGAGTCTGGGAGGAGGGAGAAGAGGTGGAGTGGAAATGCAGGTTTTCTTACAATATATGACAAACAGTAAGCATTAAGGGGATTAATGCAGTCTTTTTGCTAAGGTAGAAAATGTCCTAGAGAGCAACTGAAGAAAAAAAAAAACCTACGTAGAAGAGTTTTATGGTTAAGAGATTGGATATTATTGGGAAGTAGATTACTAGAATTGGGAAGTTAGAAGAGTGAAGATTAGAATCTCAATTTTAAAAAGAAAAGAAAAAGTAAGTGGAGAATTGCTTTGGGTTGTTCCTGGGGAGATCTGCATGTGAGAATAACGTAAGAATTGAGTAATTTGCTCAAAATTTTAATTTCTTTATAACACAGAGTGAAAAATAATTAGAATTAGAAAAGTTAAAATAAAAAATTACAAGCATAATATTAGAAACAATATTCAAAATATTTTGATAAGAATTTGAAGTAACGGGTAGGGAAAATATAAACATAAAATTAGTTTTAGGAATTCTACATATTAATTTACAGTTACGGTACAGAATTAATTTTTAAGAACAGAGTTGCATTCTGAAAAACTGTTAACTTCCATAGTATTTTAAATGAAAGAGTAAAGTATGAAATAAAACTTTGTAAATTACTGAGCTTTATAAGTTAGCTGAGCTGAATATGATATGAGTTGGTAAACACTTTTCTCCATTTTAGAAAAGTAAGTAGACAAGTATGTAAAATACCAAAATATTTAAAGAGTCAAAAATTTTGGAATGTGAATATGCTTAAAGGTTTTATATTAATGTAATCCAAGGATTTGCTTTCCACAGTTTCAGGTGCCCACTATCTGAAAATACTGAATGAAAAATTTTGAAAAGTAAATAAGGGGTTTTTTTTTGTTTGTTTTTTAGTAAATAAGTTTTAAGGAACTTTCATTATGGTCTGTTGGTAATTGATTTATTTATTTATTTTTAATAATTAATATTTTATTGTTGATTTCTTACTGTCTATAAGTTAACCTTTATCATAAGTATCTGTAGGAAATACAGAATGTATACATTTGTTTCTTGGCTTATCATGAGGGTTATATCCCAATAAACCTGTGATGACTTGAAAATGTTGTAAGTCACAAATACATATAATACATCTAACCAGCAAACACTGTAACTTAGCCTAGCTTACCTTAACATTCTTAGAACACTAGCCTTTTACTTGGATAAAATCCTTTAACACAAAGTGTTTTATAGTAGTAGTCATATGACTGCATGACTAACTAGGAGCTGCCTGGCATCACATAGACGTGTTCTGCATATTGTGAGCTTAGGAATTCAAGACGTGACGTAAATGGCTGCTGAATGCATGTTGCTTTCTCAGCATCACTACCTACAAAAAATTAGAAGTTTAACGAATCCTTCCTAAGAGGCTGTCTGTATAAAGTTTACTATTATTACTCATTTTCATGTATCTGCTGAGGGTCTTGGAACATATTCCTCATAAATAACAGGAGCTACTGTGTTCATGTGAAAAAAATAAACATTATTTAAAGTTGTTGTATAGTCTGTTTTCTCACAGCCTATTCAAAAACCTCAAATGGATTAGGCTTATATGTAAGATGCTTAGAAGACAACATAGATGTAAATTTTTATTTTGATTGGAAAATAGTTTCCTATGATAGCAAATGTACAAAGAACAAAAGAAAAATAGATAAATTGGGCATAATTAAAATTTTAAACTGTGCTTCCAAGGACACCAACAAGAAAGGAAATGGGTGACACACAGAATGAGAGAAAATTTTAGGGAACCATATATCTGATATCTAGAAGATATCTAGACTGTGTATAAAGAAACTTTGCAACTAATTAATAAAAAGACAACCTATTTTAAATGCAAAGCATTTCTCCAACAAAGGCTTACAAATGACTAATCAACACTAAAATGAATTCCAACATTTAGCCTTCAAGGAAACACAAATAAAAGCCACTGTGAAATGTTGTATATAATCTAAGCTGGCCATACTCAAAAGATATAATAACAAATGTTGATAAGGATTTGGAAACATTGGACCCCTCACACACTGCTGGTGGCCATAAGGGTGAGTTACTGTAGCTACTTTGAAAAACACTTTGACAGTTTCTCTGAAAGTTAATTGTGACCAACATATAACTCTTAGGTGTAGATATCTATGTGTCTCTTTGTGTATATATGTATCTCCAAGAGAATTGGAAACATAGGGACAAAAAATATGCTGGGCATGGTGGAGCACACCCACAATCCCAGCACTCAGGAGCTGAGGCAGGAGGATTGCCACAAGCTAAATGCCAGCCTAAACTACGTGATAAAACCCTGTCTCAAAGAAGCAAATATATATCTGTTTGCAACAGCATCACTCAAAATGGC